AAGTAGTTTTTGTAACTCCAAAAATATCTCTATTCATCATTTTTCTGCTGCCAGTATTTCCTGTGGGAGAAGAAAGCCGTGAAAATTGCGATCAGATATGTAATGATATGTGCTATTTATTACAAACCTTCTTAATTTTAACTAAGTCTTCCTGTGAGTATTGAGTCAGATTTTTCAGTCTGAGCCTCCAATACTATATATTTGGGCTGTGTCCCTCTCCAGTGCTGTATATTTAAGCTGTGTGTCTGAGGTGTAAAATAGCCCTTTGTATGTTCAGTCTGAAGCCAGCTGAAAGTGTGCCTCTGCTGGCTAGGCTTTATCAGCCAGAAACTGAACTGCTTAGTGAAAAAGAAGTAATCAATGTGTAATTGAAACTCCTTTAAACTGAGTGTTTAGGAGAATTTATAACCTGCAAAAATGTTCTCATTACAAGCCCTTTTTCGTCTTTTCTTATAATCACCTTTAAGGAATGACCTGACCACCATCAGTAAAAGGAAGAAGATTTGGGTTTTAAAGCCAAGCAGAGGTTCATGTGTTTTGGCAATTTTTGGGGTGGGGTGGAGGAGATTGCCATTAAATATATTTCATACTATATCATCATTTATGTGAGGTGCCAAAATCCACATTAAATTTCTGGTGAAACCTGGTCTGCTGTAGAACACTATTATAGTACTTATTAGTGCTACATTTTTCATCATGGATGTAACCTGAATATCCTAATTTATGACCATCTGGTCTCCAGACAAGAACAGCCCATATGATCAAACTGCAGCTTCCCTCAATCAGCTAATACATCCATGCTGTGACTTCAAGAAGATGACACAAGTACTCTGTAAAAAGCCTTGAACACCTCGAAGGGAACTTTCAGAAGAGGGGGGGGGGTGTACCCTTACACAACTCCTTGCACAATGCACCCAGCAGGGCTAGTCATTGGATCTGTTTATTCACTGGTGTTTGTTAATGGTAACTTTCATTTCATTTAGGATTTGATTTGTTTACGAACTAATAAATATGATTTATAAAAAGTGCCTGTGGTTCGCTAATTACTGCACATATGGCGTTTTCATTTTGTAAAACTGGCATTTGCTTTCTATTATGATTATGTCTCCGTTCACCAGTGCTAATTAGTTTGATTAGACAGATAACTTTAACCATTATTAGGACTAGATTAGGGGAACTTTGCATGCAGGGGAATGCAGGGAAGAAGGGTACATAACCAGTGAAGATAGGTCAGCAGCACAGAGTTTGTTCATCGTTAAATATTTTAAAATTACTTTTTGCTTTGTTTTCTACATAGAAGAATTGAGAAGCATTCACATTTAGCTACTTACAAAAATCCAATTAAACACAGTTGTTTAGCATGAATTTGTTAATCAGAGTTAATCTTTCCAATGAATGCATAATTTGGAATCTGTGTCTGAAATGTTCATTTAAGGATAAGCATATTACAGACAAATAAAATAAAAAATAAAATGAGATTCTTTTCCTTGGAATTGACTCTCTATATGGAGAAATATTGACTGTTTTGTGTTGATTGTCCTGCATGCTGGGGGACAGAACTGGAATTGGATAAAGACTAAGAAATGTCACATGAAAAACAATGCCACCTGGGGTGAGCTGTGTTTTTCCCAAGAGCCTCTGAAAATTGTTGAATACTGTCATCTGAAACTCTTCAGAAAAAAAAAAAAAAGAAAGAAAGAAAGAAAAATTCCTATTTATTATCCATTTTAGGATAAAAATAGTTATCCAGGGCAGCAGAAGTTTGATATTATTTTACTTCTTCAAATGGATTCTCTATCCTAAAAAAGAGAGGCACTTTTTCTTTACCGATATGTTATAAATTACCTTAGTGCTCTAAGAAAGTAGGATCCAGAATACCTGGGTTCAGGCAGTAAGGCACACAATTTGTGATCCTTTGGAAATAGTCACTGAACAGCGTCAAACTTTGATCTCATCCTTTCCCTCAGAAAGGAGACAAACTGATATTCAAACCAAGTAACTGTGGATACTCGTTTCATTAAGGGGACCACTCATTTCACTGTGGATGATCACTCTGTATTCATCCAGTTTCTATGAAATTAATTGGTTAGGTATGAGAGGCAAAATGGTGCCCTGTTACGGATGCATAGTCCTGTTGCAGGCAACTGGGTCTCCTCGCTGTGTTAATGTGGCAGTGATGTCATTTGTGAGTGGTCCTTTTATTTTTTGTCTTGCTCTATTTTCAAAGCAATTTATAAGGGAACAGAAAAGTTCTTTCCTGTCTAAAAAGAATTGTGGGAATATTGAAAAAGACATAAAACTGCTATTGAAGGGTGAACACATAGAGAAGCAGTAAACTAGATTGTTGCAGTATTTACTCTCTCCTTGGCTCTTCTGCAGGATACCTCCTGCCATGCCTTTCAAAGAAAACCCCAGACAATTTAAATGTTAAAGTCTCAAATTTCAACATGCATCATTATTGTTAGAAGCATTTGCTCCAGGAAAAGTTTCAAAATTGCCATTTTAGAAGAACGTGAACAGGGTGACCAGATTCTGAGATGGTATAAATTGGCAGAGGTTCCTTATTTCAATGCAGTTATCCTGTTTTACACCAACTGAAAATCTGGCCCTGGAGAATGAATATTTATGCCATGCCATGCCGGAGAGGTTTGAAAACCCTTTTTTTTTTTGATGAGAATGAATAAAGAAAGGGCTGGGATATGCTCTGTGCTGATGAACCCAAAGCCAAATATGACCTCCCCTTGACCTTTTATGCATTTAAGTTGAAAAAGGCCATTCTGATACATTCCACTGGAGCTTAAAATGCCTATATTTAAATTCCAAAGGTCAAGCTCTCTTCTCAGTATACTGTATGACCTAGCCTTTGTCTGTTACCCATTGATGTTGCCTGACTACACTTCTTATATCCCATTGACTGTTTACTGTTTTTCTGGCTAATGTAAGTGAAAGAGATAATTGAAATGATTTTGAGCTATGTGTCACTTCTGATTCTGATTATGTCTCCTGTGCTTAGTGCAGCTTTAGTGGCTCCAAACTCATTAAGTCTCCAGGAAATTTTAGATTACTCTGTTAACTATATCTTAATTAATGTATTTATCTTAAATTCCACTCAAGCCTTTTTGAAGTTTTCTTTTATCACTATATCTATCTCTAATGTCACTGAATTAAGTAATTTTTCTTCAACCCTTCTGTTTTCTTTTACCTTTTGAGGGTTTTGGATACTTTTTTTGAAAGGCCCAAACTCAAAGGGACCTATTTTCAGGAATAATACTTCATGCATGTTTAAAAGCAAATCACCATGATTTCAGTGGATGTGAGCACAGCCCCACTGGAATGAAGGGACAGGAAGAATTCAAATTTTTCAAATCTGTCTGAAACTTTGCATCAGTGGTGCTGTGTCAATTTACACCATTGACAGTCAGGTCCAAAATAAAAGGGTAGTCAGATTGGTTTTGTGGCTAGTGGGGCACATGTCAGCATAACTTCCTCTGAAATTGAAACAGCCACGATACTGGGTGGTTCCCAACAAAAGGGAATAAATGCAGTCCCGTCAAACAGGCTGACAGGCCTTGAGTGTAATTTCTCTAGATAGAATCACAAAGTAATCATTGTCTCTAATAATCTCTCCAATTACTTTATAGAATAATAAGTTGTAATAAAATCTGTTTTAGCAGACTATTTTTACCCTCTCCTCTTGAAGATAAAGTCAAACATATAGGAACTGTAGAACATTTTCACAAAGCTGGGGGAATGCTCCTACATAATAGCATAACCAATCACAAGGATCTTTTTACATATATATCATCGTTCCTCTTGATTAACACAGCTTAGTGAATCATTAGTGATGAATAATTTACTAAGGGCCATAACCTGACACTCTGCTTGTGTTGAGATGTGCCCTACTGCACAGTCCTCAACAAACCTGGACCAGATGTTCTTGTCCCACCCCTTGAACATGTCTAGGTTTCCCTCCAGTGATTGAATGAGAGGAAACCCAGCCCAGCTGGAAAGCTAAGACACAGACTACTTCCAGTGTGAGGAGAATTGATAAGATGCAGATCAATACATGATCCTCTTCGGTAGGCAGCAGTATTAACAGTGGGGCATTCCTTCCTTTTCTCCTTTTGCTCAATAGTAAAATTTCTGTAGCAGAAAGAGCGTAACACTGCAATTAGGTGGTAGAAACTAAACAGAAACATATACTGGTAAAAAAAAAAAAAAAGAGAGAGAGAGAGAGAGTGCAAAGGCAAAGCAGTTTCTCTAATTTCATCCTTGGAAGGCACATCTGGTTTTGGTGGCAGTTTCAACAAAGTGGTACATATCTAGAATACCAATTCCAGTCTGAATTAGTAATATCTGGCAAAATTAAGGGCAACTGGAATCACTGGGAAGTGTCAGGCAGCATTGAGTGAGGGCCATAACCTGACACCCTGTTTGTGCTGAGATGTGCCCTACTGCACAGTCCTCAACAAACCTGGACCAGATGTTCTTGTCCCACCCCTTGACCATGTCTAGGTTTCCCTCCAGTGAATGGTTGGCAATGCTACTGACTGCAATTATTATGAATGCCTGATAGGCTCCTGACCATGGAAACCCACTTGGACAAGCACAGCTACTCACAACAGCTCCTGTAAATAGGTGGAATTCTGTTAAAACCAATATAGCTGCAGTTCCATACACTGTCAGAGCTCCTGGACCTGTGTCTTTAGTACTTTCCTCTGCTTCAGCAGTTTGTTCAGCTATGAGATAAAAACTGACTCGCCTTACATTCGTACCTGCCGGATCAAAAGGACTATTTGTAAGCACAGTTCATCACCAGAACTCAGAGAGTAAATATCACTGAATCAGTCATATATCTGGCTCTTGATGTCTCCACCACTACGCCTTCTCTTGGAGGAGGCACCTGCTGGTTACCGACTCTCTGCCCAGCCTCTGGAGCTCTTGATGGCAGCAAGAAGCCTGAGCTGCCTTCTGAGAACTTTCCATCTATTTTATTTCAGGTACTTCCCAGATACCTTGGACTCTCCTGCAAGGACCCAGATTGACCTGCTTCAGTTTTCCTGAAAGAGATAGAAGGCAATGTAGGTGCTGATTTTTTTTTTGTAATGATGACATGAATTTTGCTTGGTATTGCGGTGGAAACATCAGCATAGGCATCACTGAAAGCTTGGTGTGAAACAGGTTAACCCTTTCTCTTACCATTGTTGCTCTCAGTGCGTGTATCTGGTATAGAATTCAGGTTAAATAATACAAAGATTTATTTCCCACAACTGTCTCTGAACTCCATTACGAAAGAAGGAGGTTTGGTGATTGAGTTGATGGCATGACTCAGGGAAGGAGTAAGTATTTCTTGTCCCTTGGATGAAGCAAGCTACTTTTCTGAACTTTGCCTTGGGCTTGTCCAAAGCAAGCTTCTGTGTATTTTAGTCATTGTTTAATTGAGGGAGTTGTTTAACTTCTGTTATATTTTTCCCTTAAAAAGACAGAAGACTCCTTGGATTTACTTTTTATTACTTTATAGCAGCAGCCATAGTGTGTGAGATGTTTCCCAATCAGAAAGTAAATTTATGAAAGGGATTATGTGATGTTAACCCTGTAATACCTTGACTGGGCTCAGAGATCTGAGGCTGGTCTTGAACACCAAAGTCCAGCCCTCACTCCTACAGTTCTGAGAAAGAGGAGCTCATAAGGCTGTGACAGGCAGTTGATTCTGATAATGCAAAAGGAGAAAAACTACTTTATGAATGCAAATAATTTCTATGTAGACAGCATGGCAAAAGTGGGGCAAACAAATTTGCATAAAAAGGTAAAAATACAGAGAGGAACGTAGTTACATCTGAATGTGAGGATGCAGCGTCCTTTCCTCTGAACAACCTGTAACAGGAAAGTAGATGATATTTGGGGGTTTATCCAGTTTTTTGCCTGTCTGTTATACTCTTATGCTGCATATTATTTTTCCTCTTCTACTTTCAAGTTATTTTCCAGGCAGTTTTCATTTTGCCCTTCACAAATTGTGTTGTGTGCACTGAGTCATGGGCTTGTGTTTTTAGAAAGGTTGTCAGTCACAGATATTCTCATGCAGCAATGATAAGATTAGCTCTGTTTTTTACTGTAAAGTATTAATTTAACCGAAGTTTGAACACAGTGAAAAACAAAGCATCAGCGGATGAACAAGCCAGCTTAAAAGCAGAGGTACTGTATTGTATGAATGGTTGCCTTCCTTTGGGATTGCAGGAAAGGATGGGAAAGAAAAGAAACCCCATATGTGAGAGATCCTCAGGCACTGATGTACGTGGGAATATGTTAATAGCCCTTAGTCTAACCAGTGCCTGGAGAGGCTGTGAGCACAGGGCCCTCCACAGCCCCGTTGTCCCAGAAACCTGGTCCTGGGATTCCCAGTGAGATGATCTGCCTGTGCTCTCCTCTGCAGGCTCATGCTTTCCTCTGGTTTGGGGGGTCAGTAAGATGCCTGGTTTGTGGGTGTCTCCAGGGGCTTCTCCCACAGGCTATCAGAGGCATACCTGCAGTGGTGAGGGCTGCCGAAAAACAGAACAGAAGAGCTGGAACTGCCCGGGTCCCTAAGTGAGCCCTGACTGCCATATCTTGACGTGTCTCAGTGCTGCCTTTTTCTTCCATTCTCTCTCCTGTACCTGAAATTTGACTGGTAATCGACCAATATGAGCTGAAAAAGTGGTGTCAGCCTGAGCTGTGAATTGACCTGCTTTTGTCAGTTTGTCACAGTTTTATTGCTGCTTTAGCACAATGCCTGCAAGTCAAAGCCGGGCACTTTTGTCACCCAGAGAAGAGCCTGGCAGGCTGATGTCCTCAGGAACAGTTTCCAAGAGCAAAGAAGCCAGGAGATCCCTTTCTCCTTACCAGCTAGTCCAAACTTCACATTTTATTTCTAGCCAAAGAACAACCTAAAGCCAAAACAACCTGCAGTGTATCTCCTTGGTGTTTCCCTACATCTCCAGTACTGCCTGGAATTCATCTGCGGTGGTGCTCCATAAGATTTCCTGAGAATAAGATCAAAACTGTGTCCTTCTCTAAAGGTGACCATATGAGGCTCATCTCTTCATAAATGTTAAGTTTCTTACAGAAACAATAGACTGGATTCTTTAAATCAGAACATTTCAAATATAGGAGACAAGGAATAAGAGAGAATTCCAAGGCCTTTCATGAAAGACTCATCCTAAAAGCCAATTTAACTTTCTGCACAGCAGCAAATATATCAGAGAGTTCACCTAAAAGCTAGCTGAAAGAACGTGTGTTTATACCTCTTATTTATACTGAGATTTCAAAATAAGCTTTTTGAACAAGCTGTGATATTTTATTTGGTTTCCTTAAGCTAAGAGTATTGCAGTGTCAGACTGTGTTTTCTTAATCGATTATAACTTTGCCATCCTCATATTGCAAAGCTTATGATGAATGAATAATATGTTGCCCAGCGCCTCTGCAGCTTGGCCCAAAATTTGGCTTAGAGTACCTTTTTCATATCTTTGTTTCTCACACAAATATCTTTGCTGTTGCTTCTGATAAATGAATAATTTCCAGCAGCTGAGGATGCTTGAAAATAGTCATGATCCAGCCAGCATGTCTGAGTGACCCTACAAATAGCAAACACGGGAATGCAGCTCAGCATGCATAAGCAACCCTACAATAATAACTTGGTGTGTACAGTCCAGCAGGTGGGAACAATCCTAGAACTAGATTGCTAAATAAGCTATTGAGAGAGTCATGGAAGTAACAGATCTGAGTGACTTGAGAGTTTTCTTAGTTTTACATGTGTGATTTTTTTTTTTTTTTTTTTTTTTTTTTTTCCAATCTGTTGCTAAACTTGTTTTTCTGGAAGCTGTCCCTATCTCTCCAGCTCAGCTCCTAATTCTTACCCATGCCTAAGTCATCTTGCACCTCACTGCTTCTCCAGCTGCTCAGCTCAAATCATGAAATCTGTTTGCAAGCAATAGCCTCAACTCCTGAGTATCCTGAACAGGCCTTAGAAATTATCAGCTTTACTCTTGGAAAGGGGTAAAGTAAAGCTCAGAGTGTGAGAGGCTCTAAAAATGGTGAAAATGTTGTTGTTAATTCAAAATGTTATTCCCATATGTTCAGGAAACAGAATGATGATCGGGTTATGTAATTGACTTTACAAAAACACCTGCTTGAGTAGGTAGAGTAGGGTGGAAACAGGAAACAAAAAAAAAAAAAAGGATTTAGGTTCAAAAAATAATGCACCATTGGCTTGTTGGAAGGACTGACAAAAGCAATGCTGGCTTCTGAAGGGAGATGTTTGGATGGGTGTGCAGTGCCGTGGGCCATCGAGGCAGGGGGAGACACCTAGAGCTGGGCAGTGCTGGCTACAGGGCTTCGAGGACTGGTTTGGGAAAGTGCTTCCTTCCAGGCCAAGGCCAGAGTCTCAGCCTAGGTAAATGTGCACAGCCTCATCCACATCCTGATTTACAGCCCTGTGACCTGGTTGCAGCACCCCCCCCTGTCCCGTGCAGCCTTCCTTCAGGAAGGAGAGCAGAGGCTCATTCTGGGCAAGCTCTGGTGGCAAGGAAATATTCCAGTTTAAACTGTTTATCTTCTCCTAACCTGGCTCTCGATTATTCCCCATCATCATTTCCTTCATGTTCACTGCACTGTCATTTTTCTTGTAGTGTTTGAAATTTTTTTTAACAATCTTAAGCAGAGATTTAATTGTGCAACAGCTCATTTCTCAAAGTATTACATTTGGCCAGAGGACTGCTGTCACTAGGGGTGTCACCTTCCTGAGATATCATGCCTCTAATCACCCTCCCAGAAGGACTTCGACAGACTTCTTGATGAGCCGCAATCTCTTGAGGACATATGTAAAAAGGTTGCTGAGAATTAATATAAAATACTTAGTAATATAAAATACTTAGTATCCCTGCAAGCCTCAACTGAATGAATGCACTAGTCCAGGCCTGAAAGAAGACTGAGTAATAATTGCATGCAGTGTGGCAATTTTGTTTTATATTGTCCCCTGGTCAGATCTTTAATTTTAGTTGCAGGGAAAATACTCCACAAATCTCTAGATTCCCCTCACTCTACCTCCATTTGCACCAAATGGAGTATTTAAGCCACCCTTCCCTGCACTTCTTGTCTATGTCTCTCAGAATAAAAGGCAGGACCGATCCAGTCAAATGCAGTGAAACAAGAAAATGCTCAGATATTTTAATACCCTGGAGCTACCCCTTGGCAGATAAAATTGCTAAAATGAAATTTAAAGCACATCTGATTTACCTGTTGTTTGTGTGACTCAAATACCTATGTTTAATTTTGTCTATGGATTGGAAAAAGTTAATTTCAAGCCTTGTTTCTCTTGCTAGCAGCAACAACCTTTTAAACTGAGTATTACTGGTGAACCATATAGAGCTGGTTAAAAAAAATGCTTTTCAGTTCCACCATGCAGTTGTTCGGACGACAATTATGGCAGCTGAAGTTTAATCATAGTGTTTGATAGCTCATTTTCTCAATGTCAACACGAGGCACTGTTAAAAAAAATGAATTCTTTCATTTGATAAGCTGGCTCCAGAGCACTGGGCTCATTCAATAGGAAAACTCTTTCACAGGGCTGCAGCATGCATGGTTTTTCTCTTTCCTTTTTTTTTTTTTTTTTTTTCCCTTTCTTTTTTTTTTTCTGAAAGCCACCCAAGAAGAGATTAATCACGAGGGGGAAACTCAGCTTCACCCTCTAGCTGCAGGTCGCAATTTTTATTTGTATGGAATTGGCTTTTGGAAAGCTGAAGGCTGCCTGAGGGCAGGGACCTGATATAAGAAGAACCTGAGAATGAAGCAGCAGGGATTGATTAGCCTACTTCATATCCCACACTCCATAAGCACACTCCAACCGCAATCTAACACACCGCTGAGCTGAATAGACAAGAGAAATTGGATTCCTTCCTAATATTTAACCTTCAAGTCAGCTCCAACAGTTGTTGATATGTTGTTCTACCAGCAAGTAACAGTAGCTTTTTTATTCCAGCACCCACCCACACACATATATATACAATTTTATAAGTTATATGCTATATATTTACATATTTTCCATTTTCAA